TAAAAGCTCAGTGTCATGTTTGTTTTTAATTCAATCCACTCGAGCAACCTAACATGTCCTCATATAGTCTGTTACTTTACATTACTTTGCCTTACTTTAATGAAAAAGAAACTCTTCACTAACATTATTCATAGTATTGTAATCAATGTATAACGAAGGGCTGGCGCTTGTCTTTTATTCCTCCTCACGTTCCCTTCAGTGGTAACAATTAATTGGTTGTAAATGTAATTGAAATTATTGCACTATTATCAGACGTAGAACGGGGACGGGAATTCCCGCTAATTGGAGCAAATTCACCCGCTCCTTTGCACGCTTGAACCGATAACGATAACGCGAATTTAATTCAAGTTAGCGCCGGTCGATTCATCGAAGGCGGCAGAATTCCCAAAAGTGAATTAATTGGACGTGTTTACGCATATTTTTCCTCATATGGTGTTAATCCCTTAAAAAAAATCATATTCGCGCGATATCGGCACGTGCCGCCCGCTTCCTCGAGATAGGCACTTCCGCTAGGGATCAAGTGCACACTGTTTAAACACACACACACACACACAATTACTACGGCCGCTTTGTTTCCACGGGAAAGCTAAGACCATGGGCCTGTACGCCTCACACATATCTATCAGCTTTTTCTTATATGTCCTCAATTTTTTCTTCTTGATTTTGCCAAAGGAATGAGCGTGGGAGCGAGACCATTCTTCCTTCTTAACATTTGGCTGAGGAATTAGCCTGGTAGTGGTCTCATACAACTATACTTACTATCATCATTACTTGAAAAGTTGACAAACGAGGAATTGGTCCCTAGTTTAAGTGACCATCGCCAATGGACGTCTACAACATCTGAAGGGTCACGTCATCAATCTTTAAAATCAGTGGGCCCCCTACCCCACTCACTATTACCCAGAATAGTTCTTTCACTCTCATACGATTGCCGATCTAAGATTTCTTCTGCCTTGCTTGCTGTTCGATTACTCACGATTTAGATGTCATTTTGCCATGTAAATTATATTGTCGCAGAAACACGCAGCAACCTCTGCTGTGGTAGGAAAGAGCTGACTGATTCCGGAGTACTTATCCCGGTAATTATTTCTACTTTTGCCTTTCTCTATAGAGTAAGGTAGCTCGTACTGACCCTCTTAAGATAACGCAACTGAAAATGAACCGCAACAAAATTAAATACATAATTATTTATTTAAGTAAACTAAACATTTTTTATGTGAAAAGTTGTCAAGCGAGCATGCGGTCCACACTCCACCTGATGTTAAATGAATGACGCCGCCCATGGATATCATCACCCAATGGCTTGATGATGCGTTGATAATCTTTAAAAAAGTGGGCCCCAGCTACCTCACTCACTAGGCAAAACGCGAAAGGTAATGAATTCTACTTCTCGCCGGTCTTCTGTGAGGCATGGTACCTTCCCGGTACTTTTACAGATCTGCTGATACCGAAATAATTAGTAGGTTATATAGTAGATAGATTAGTAATTAAACTACATGAAAAAGAAAATATAACAGTAGAAAGTATACCGCCTTGCGGTGCCCCCCCAAGGCGGATCGCTGCCGACCGCTGACCGTTGGTGACCGCAAAGACATGTACTCGCAATCGCTATGGGCGCCAGTTAAGGAAAATTTTGTTCACAGGGTGAAGTATAATCACTTCCATATTACTTAGAATTAGGACATTTGCTCACCTTTTCAAAACAACGATTCTGTCTGTTGCGTAGCTATCAGCTCATTCCTCATTGAGTACTCTGTTCTGGTATAAATATCTCATATACCAACAGATTTAATCAGGAAGTTAAACGTTAGTCCATCACATGATGCTTTATTCCATCATTTTTTTAAGCATTCGTAACGTCGAAATCTAAAGACTAATTACAAAACGCGGCAAAGTATATACAACAGTTTATGAGTATAATAAAAAAGCTATATTCTGCTCAGAACAGTGTTAATTAGAAGCTTTACCGTACAGGTTAAGTACCTTAAAGCTATATTGCTTTGAGTGTTTAAACGTAAAACGCTATTAAACCTATGAATAGATATGTAACAACGAAATATGCGCGGCTTTTGATCTGACGGGAGTCCTTGACAGGGGTATTTAGTTCGAGTGATAAGAGGCTGGTGGCATAAAATGATATAAATGTTTCATATGTTACGACAGATTGCCGGTGTTGAATGCTGTGTCGCAACCGGTCGTGGTGTGTGGCCGGACAAGAAGCGGACTGATATAAATTCATATATAACAGAACGAGGCATGCGAGCAAGCGGTTTAAGTAATGAATAGTATCTACTGTCGCCATGACACGCCACAGCACGAACTACGTCATGAAAACGCTTACCTTCGACTACCTCTCCAACAAAGCACAAAAGTTTAGATATTTCTTTCCACGTGAGCGGGACATTTGCGAAGAGTTGGCATTTCACGGATTTAGCGTCTACAGTGCTTAATAACCTAAATCTAAGTGTCAACAGCATGTGTCTAAAACGTGTAAATTGCATGTTTAGGTACATTTGTTTAGGCCGTCTCCAAATGCTGTGGCACGTGCAAATGTAGATACCTAAAAATTTTGCAGTTCACGTGATTTAATTTTTTGTAAACATTTAACAGGTAATTTGTAGTATTAATAAATGAATTGATACGTATGTTATTTCATGTTTTTTAATTTTTCATTTCGCCGCCACTGGGACCACGCCCCGCTTTACAATCTAACTATGAACTCACTAATGGTTTTTACTGTTAATCATAATGCCCGATGCAATAAAATTATCGTCGCTGTTTGAAACATCACACACACTCCCACACAACACGCGCACACGAGGAACAAAACGTTTTTGAATTATGTGCGACGTTTACGTTCTGATGTTGAACGTTGAACATTGTTGTGCATAATAGTTGTGCGATTTTTATCGACGCCCGTGCGTTTTTGTCCGCCCGACGCCGACGCCGCAGCGGATGGGATATTGTGTTTCGCGCGTTCACCGTTTTACGCGGCAAAAAGCGCCTTCGCCCCAAGGCGGGGCGCGGTTGAGTTTGCCATGCGGGCTTTTTCTGCAACGCCGCCTCGTTAAAAGACGCTTGTTTAAAGTGTTAGCGCACAATGTACGGAGGCGAATAATTTGTTTCTTACTCATCGATTTTCGTATGACCGAGTCCACAGAGTTTTTAGCTGGAGCCATTAACGTGTTGAGAAGACTATGTTGTATCATTGTCGTTCCCACATCATTAGCGCGTATGCATATATGTAAAGTTGTTTTTAAAACGCTGTCAGCGCCTTCTTATACTTATTACTTTATCTATATTTAATACTTATTAAAATGTCTGTCGCTATCTTTTCTTAAAACTATTAAAAGAAAGACGGATCAAATAGTCACTCTCGGCGTAATATTGACGGAGTGGTTTGTTTTGCATAAAAATTTGCGTAAAAAGTGAATACATTGCGATCTCAATTTAGCTCTCTATGTTACACTTAAAACTGTTCGTTACTTGATTTACCACCGGTTTCAATACTCTATCAACAGAACGATTTGGTTACTAGCGATAGGTTTGACATTAGCTCCATAATACTCATGTCAAAATTCTATCTCCAATAATCAAATCTATCTGTAGATAGAATGTTGAAACCAGCAGCCGTTAGATAAGAACAGGATAGTTCTCTTTCATTCAACTTGTTTATGTCATTTATTAACCTATGAGTCGCCATCACTTATTTGGATACCAACACATCAACTCATAACTAGGTCGTTGAAGTAGATACGTTTAGAAATAACTGTCTTCATATAGTAGGCGTTCACCCTCTGTTACCGAGGGTTTTACAATAGTCAAATATGACACTCAGCCGTTTAGCTTAGTGGCTAAAGCATTAGAATCAATTCCCGCACGGAAAGCCTTTTCATCCGTTTTTTGTGCAGAGATTAGCACTATTAAAAAAAGGTAAATTACGGTGTGGAACGCAATATCGATAATACCATTAGTATCAAACACATAAATAGTATCCAAGGAACGTTTTATTATTTTACACGAAGATTAGAAAATAACAATTCTTTTCGCATATTGGGTATCGAACTTAGTGTCCTCTGTTTTACGTTTCAGGCTCCTATCAGTCAGAACAATATTGGCCAATAATCTGATCCAAGCATCTGTCGCTCCGCAATCTTTGGTTGCCCCACATGAACGGACGGACAACCACGCCTCCCATGTAACAATAGTAATTTATATGTAACTGTCAATTTGGACGAAATATTACTGTCAAAGTTGTTATGTAGGCGAAAGTACGTATTATGCGCTAATGCGCGTGATAAAATCTCGCATGGAACTATTGGAGTTTCAAAAATCTCCGTTATAAGGGCTTAAATAGATTTAACGGTTTAATCGCTCGTGTCAAACTGATAATGTCATTTCGTTAACTAATTTATTTTCGTCACGTCATATCATTAATTAATTTTAAAAGTTTTGTTTCCTCGATATTTTGCTCATATGTTTATTCTTAATGAAATCATACTGATTTAATTATATTACTGTGAAAGTAATTATATTAATGTGAAATTACGGTAAAGCATAGAATCTTTGGTGTGTTCATGGAGGGTCATTACCGAGGGGATTTAGTAAGTAATAAGGCCACATAACCCTGCCTTCCCCCTTTTCTCTTTCGGTCTTTTTCGGAGATACCAAAAATAGTTTAGAACGTGGGGAACTTGACATATCAAACATGGAGCATTTGCCTTGAGATTATAGTGAAAAATAATATTTTCATATCAAGAAGTAATCTTACATTTATCAAGAAATAGGGAGTAAAGTTTTTTGGCGGTTGGGATACATTCAGAGATCTGACAAATTTATATATTGACAGTCGACAAATTGGAGTGTGTAGTGTGTAGTGTGTAATACATTGTACAATATTTGGCTTAAAAAATCTTTCAATGAGCAAAAACCGCTCCATCAGAACACGCCCTAAGGCCCGTTGCAGACGTCGCGCACAAATAACAATCGTTGTAAGCGCGATGTTGAGATACGGCCGACAAGATGTGCGGTACGTATCTGACGTACGCCGCGCAACGCAAGTTCGAAACGATAACGTTCCCCCGTGTAACAAATGGACGCGTTATCTCGTACCATCACGTTGCGGGACCACGTTGTTGGTGCAACATTCGAATTGGTTAATATTCTCGATTCAATCTACAAGCGATCCGTAAATGGACTTAAGATGAACATAGTACAACTGCACAATTTAATTTGAAGCTAAGCGCGAGATTATCTTAAAATTTATTTCGCTAGACAATGTGACTAATTTGTTTCTGTCACGACGCGTTGGAAATCATTTAAATCCTTATGAAGTTTTGAAGCAAGGACATTAGTGCTGGGAAAAGATGGAAAACAAACAAGCGATGCAATGACAGGACTATCTTAAGGGATGAAACGAATAAGTCTAATAGTATTTACTTATACCGTTCTTCAGGGAGGATTTCCGAAGAGGACCATTGAAATCTTCATAACTTCTTAGCAGCCGAAATACGCAAAACGAACTGTTTCGGCTTCATTGAAAATTTTGCGCGATATAGATATCTCCACATACAAAACAGTCAGATTAGAAATTTATTAATTTAATGTACGATGCTCGATCGGAAACTCATACAATTGTTTTAACTGATGAACTGCTCCCAACGAGACACGCGGACTCGATGAAGAATGACAGCGATACATTAACCTTAGCTTGGACGAGAGCGATCAATTAGATTTTAAGACAGAGACCAGCTTAGGAACAGAATAAATACCCGACGTTCGAACAGTATTATATCTATATCGCAAATATTGAGCCGTATTTTAAGCATAAAAATACGGGAACTGCGCGCAGTGGGTAAGCACGACGCAATGGTGCTGATGCACTTGAAAACATCCCGGGCGTCTCGTCTCCGTAATTGGTCACCCGAGTCACCATAACGTCCCGATTTTGTGTTTTATCCACATCTTTGAACTGTCCCTTCGCATTTTGTGATACGATATTAGTCGCGACGCCATTATATACGAATAAGACTGAATAAGGGAAAACTTATCCATATTTCTGATGTATGTTTCAGTTTTTTTTTTTGAAACTACTACTCAATGAAGTAAAGATTATCAGTAACTGTCGAACAAGCGTCGGATGGTGGATCTAATAGTACTAGTGGACGTCGAGTGGTCGAAATTCGACCATAATTAATTTAAATTTTAACTTTGAACAATGATAAGACCCATTTACACGGTGCAAGTTTCTTGCCTGTTGTATACAATAAATTGAAGCAATAAATGAGTTGCATGGTCTAAACAACAAATGGTCTAACAAATTATTGCGTGCAATTTATTGCATTCAATTATTGCTCTTGTATGTACAAGAAAATGGCATCGTGTAAATGGGCCTTTAATCTATTCTCAAATGCAATACACAATAAACAAAAGGATATGCGTGTATCAAATAAATTTTAGTTTGTGTAATGTACGTATTTTTTATGCATAATTATAAAAAAATATTAGCATTATGCACTCCTTCTCTACATAAGCTACCTATTAGTGTAGGAAATTTCATACTCCTCCGCCCGCGCAATTTTCGTAATAAGAGGAACAAAATTTTTGCTTCACGTATAGATAATGTCGCTTTTCAGTGAGTTTTTAAATGTTGTATGAAAGAAAAATATATATATATCCATAGCTAATCAAATTATAAAATCAAGCTTTTAACAGTGTGTTGATGCGATACTTACATTTATATTTACAGCACTAACACACGGTCCCTAATGGTTTATTTTTAATCTATTTAAAAACTCTTTATGAAAGTTGATAATGAATATTTTTCAATGTGACATCTTAATAAAATTTAATATAAAGCTTTTAACAATATTATGGAGATGTTAAATTTAAAAGTATGAATTATTCACATTAAATTTCACAACGTGTCATAATATATTGACAACAACATAGTTATCTTTTCATAGAAAGAAAATTCATCAAAACAAAGCTGCGTAAAAAATACGATAAAATAGAATCCCCCATTAAACTCTTAGAGAATTTTAATTTGTCACGTGAGTTTTGTTCTGCACGATTTTAAATCATATTTTAAATAATCAATATGAATATGGTTTGTATATTCATCTCTGGTTATAGCGTTTGTTAATTTTATATAACAAACAGGGACAATTTCGTTAAGCAGAATTTTATAGCTTTATTGAAAATTACTAAAGTCAAATTAAAGCTCTCGCTAAAACAATCTATGCCATAACAATTCATTGATATACTCAAACATAGCTTCGCATTAATATGAAAATAAAGTTTTATCGTCCTTCTGCTGAATAATGTTATAATTCCATAAAATCAAGAACAGGCTTCGTTGAAATCGATGTATTGAATTTAAAACCTTGACGATGTAATGCCTGCACTTGAATGAAATCAGCTCAGTATAAGCATTTTTCTTCTTTTACTCTACATTTTTATATAAGAAAAAGACCGGTCAGGTGCGAGTCAAACTCGTAGGTTTTGTGTCAAAAACGTATAGAGTACTTCACAAGTAAGGAGAAAATTACGAAAAAAAAAAAGTTCAAAATTAAGGTGAATTTTGGTACTTACAAGTTTTCGCTAAAATTTAAATTTGCCCTTATATTTTTATGGTATTGACTCAGGGCCTTGATTATACGCCTAATAGGGACTATAGACCTCAACACTTAGTATAAATTTCAACTTGTCAGGTCCACTCGTTCCTCACAAAATCGGTGGTGACACATAGTAGTACCCGCCAAGCCAGACCTAAAAAGTAGCGTTAGGTTGGCGGTTCAAGCCCTTATTCGCAAACAGCAATCGCGAATTCGAATACCAAAGTGCTTATATGTAAATTACTGAAACTTATATTAATTTCTGTATATTACTTACACTTTCTCGCATAGGACGTGTTGTGCCTTTTTGAGTGCTTCGTTGCGTGCTGCACTCTTTCTTTTCATATTTTTCCTCTGATGGAATCTGCAAAATATAAATTACTAATCCTAGTTTTACCTGTAGTACATATCGACATAGAGACAAACGGTCACAACTTACATAATGAATAATTGCGGAACGAGTTAGTGACCCTAGGGACCCATTACTTCCAACCAACAAATTGCAACCTCTTTATTATATAAAGATAGCATCGTGAATAGCCAGAGCTGACCCCCTTTGTTTCTCCTCGATAGGGCTGTGTCCGTCCTGTTACTCAACAGGAGTGACGCAGAGCTATCTGGCTGCCGGCAGCCCTGTCCGCCGGCCGGCTCGCTCGTGAATCGATCGCACGACAAAAAGCCCCGTCCGGAGATATGCGGCGAAGCGGGAGCGAGTTATGTCAGCCTCTCCGAACCAGTCCGCTGTTATGTCAGCGTGTGGACGCAGTGTAGGGAACTCGACAGAGGCCAATGCTACCACTGATTTCAAAATTATTGACGTCCAAGGGGGCGATTCGCCTGATGTTAAGGGTAACACTTAACATCAGGCGAATCGCGTGCTGGGTTACCGACATTTCAAACAAAAAAGGGTATTTTAACTGACAGTTACTGGGAATGTCGTCACAAGCCCAGAGGGTGTGGGCTTGATCCCCACTGAAAAAGTATTGTACGCCAAACCTAGTGTTCATGTTTATAATATCTATGTTATGTTTTTATTTACGAAAGAAAATTTAGTTTTTATATGTTAATCAGTTGCCTAGTACCCATAATACAAGCTTTGCTTGGTATGGCTAGATAACGTTATACAGCGTGTCGTTACCATCGCGACAATAAATGAACACACATATAGAGGATACTTAATTTAATATACTTAACTTTTAAAAATTATATTAAACATTTACATTCTTTAAACATCGTATCGTAAAGTTCATTCGTAAAGGTCATGAAGCATATGAATGGGTTGAATGAATTTGAAAAAGATAACACATACTGTTAGAAGGAGAGATTTGTAGTGCGGCAACGAATGAAAAAGTGTCTGAATGTATGAATCATTCAGTTGTAGTTATATAGGATGTTACAAATTTTGTTTCTTCTTTATTTAATTAGTTTGTTTGAAAAATATATTTTTTTAGTATTGTTTTTTTAGTAGCGTTAGACGTCTGTCAATTTATTGTCGCGGTTGTAACGACAAGCTGTATAGATATATGACCGATTGCAAGCCACCTGAACGCTTAAGAATGATCTCCTTAGGATGATCTGTTATAAATTTATGTTATATACATTGATTTAAGAAATTTTATGTAGTGCTATTATTGTGAATTCAGCGTTAAAGCAATTAATGTTATATTTGGCGTCAATATAAAACTGAATCTTATAATGTTAAGTGAACTTAGTAGGTACCTATTTATTATATTTGCTCAAAAATTCTCCCGACATTGTTGCGATCAAGATATGGCGCTGTAATCAGCCTTAAATCACTTTCCATAACTTATTTTAGTTTGACAAAATATAAAAATTCATTCTCTCAGTTATCATAAGTATAACTTAAAACAGTTTAAGGAAAAAAAAATAACACTGTGAAAAAAAAGGATAGTTTTAATTTAGTAATACATTTAAGGCATAGTTTGGAGGCTATCTAATGTTATAACTTGTAATTAAGTGCGTTTTTGTTTTTGCTTCTCTACTATTCTGTATGAAGTAGGAAGTGAAGGTGGTTAATATTGTAATTTTTATTAGATTAACTTTTTTGGCATTGATATTAGAAACTTAAGGTTAAAAGAGGGAGGAGTTAAAAGAGGTTAAAAGTGTTGTTAACAATGGTTACCATGTATAAGGTAAAAGCTCTAACTATTTCGTACTCATGATAAATTTATTCAAACACGCTCTGTACCGACATGAGCTTTATAAATTTCCAAAAGAACAAGAATATAATATGACTTGCCATGTTAGCTTAAAAGTTAAACTTAAAAAAATTGCATTTTGCTTGCATTTTAAAAAAACAGATTTTATTTGAAACGTCATAAATGTAAAAGGTAATCAACAATAGATCATATAACCTTGTTTTTAAATCGATAACAATACAATTTCCAAATTAAAGTCGTACACAAAGAGACAGGATACAAAGAAGTACAATCCATTTTTATTATATCATATTACAAGTAAGAATCCTCAAATTGACGGTAAACTCTATCACTACATGAGTACAGTGTCGACAGCTTCTTTAGTCTAAAAATTATAGTATACCCGTTCTTACAGATCACCAATATCCAGTAACAAGGATGCGGGCGAAGGCTGTACTGTGGCGCTGCGCGGAGGTGCGGGGCGGAGGCACCTGCGAGAGGGCGTCGAACCCTCCCCCCCTGCCCCGCCGTCCTACCCCGCCCCGCGGGCCCCAGACACGCGATCGCCCCGGGTCCCAACAGGTGAAGCGGTCAACTCAAGCCGCGGACCAGCGCCGGCCGACCTGACGGGCCGCGCATTAATTACGGACCTCCTCGCTCCACCCCGCTTATTATTTTGCACGTTAGCGAACGGCGAGCGTCTCTGGTTCGCCCGTTTCGCTCGGCGATCGCGGTCGGGACGATCGCGGGTTTGGATCCAGCGTTGCTTGGAATTTCGTTTTTTTTTTGGGTATTTTAATATTTGAAACAAACGCGATATCATCCGGATAAAACAGTTTTATATAACAGATCTATTACAGTTTTTCTCCTACCATATCCTAGAGGACTCTTAGTCGAGCTTAGAATCAAAATTTAGATTCTAGGTTAAATTATGTATCTGTGATAATTTATGTACTTCTTTCTCCTGCCCTTATCACATTAGGGAGGATATTGGTTAGTTGATTAGCCTGCCTGATGTCAACCGTATTTGGGAAAACCACCTAGATCCTGAACTATAAATATCTCTGGGTCAAACAAATACTTTGCCCATGAAGGAATTGAACCTACGACAACCAGCGTCGAAGCCAATGGCTTAACAACTACATCACCGAATTATGTTATAGATTTCTATACCATATACGGTGGTAGGGCCACGCAGCAGCCTCGGCTGTTGCACGAATGGGCAGGCCCGTCCGGGTAAGTACCACGACCTCACAGAAGACCAGCGTAAAGTGGAAGTATGACAAATACTTTCGCGTTACGTCTGGTAAGTAACGTAGCCGGAGTCCAATTTTCAAAAGGTCGTCAACGCCTCTGTAATCCTCGGGTGTGGCAGATGTCCATGGGCGGCGGTATTCACTTAACATCAGGTGAACCGTTTGCTCGTTTGACAACTTTTCGCATAAAAAAATATACAACATATAGTAATAAAGTGTATCTTACAAAACTTATGACTATCACATTAAGTGCAGAATTGAATCGAATGCTTTCTACATTCCAACAATGCTTGTTTAGGCCCAAAGGTAAAGGGGAGTATATTCTGTGAAGTCATGGTATTTTTCTGGACGGACCTGTCCATTCGTTTCAAAAGATATTTAATTAAAAATAATTAAAATTATTTGAGCCGTGACAGCTCAGTGTCCGGGCGCTCGCCTTTAATTCAATATATACTCGAGCAACCTGAGTTCGATCCCCGGTGCCGGCACCAATGAAGTTTTTAACTTTAAGTGCTGACTTATCACGTGCTCCGCGGTGAAGGAAAACATCGTGAGGAAACCTGCATATTTTCGAAATAATAACAAAAAAAAATGTGTTTCGAAGATATGTGAAGTCCGTCAATCAGCAGTGGGGCCGCGTGGTGGACTATGCCCTGATACCCTGTATAGAGGAGGCCTTTGCCCAGCAGTGGGACATGTATAGGCTGTTACTTTACTTTACTTTAACAATTAATATATTTAATTAAATTACCACAGTTAAATAACTTAAGTATAAGTGATCCCAATAGGTATTTCTTTTTATTTTCTCAGTGCACGCCCTCGATACTTTCGGGTAAATAAATAAAAATGATAATTAATTATCTGCTCTACAAATATATGTATAGACCATATAACCACCACAACTCGGGCGTTTTCTTCGTCGAAACCAATCACACTTCCCGCCGATCATTTTACATCAATTTTCGACACAATGGGCCCGATTTAAGCGAACATACTTTTTTGTCACAGAGGCATAATTCAATAAATGAGAAGCCGGAATGGCTGAGCATGACTCAGTGTAACACGTAGTAGCCGTCTATAGAAGAGGTCCGGTTTTAATTCGTTGCTAGCGTTAAAATTTTACAGCCTAGAGCCCCGTATAATCGAATTTATTAGACGACCTATACAATTTATTTACAATCGCTACGTCGTGTGATCGATTAAATATTTAAGTGCGCTGTGCGAAGCGTATTCATAACCGAGGGAAGTAATTTAAGTTAGTTTTTATTGTCGATATATAACTGAGCCGTTTCTATTTCTATGAGTTGTGTGTACCAGGCATTCAGTGCAAATTTCAATTTCTTTTGTATTATTTTACATCAGGTGGTTTACCTGATGTAAAGGACTGAACAAGTTAATTACAGAAGTACTTCTCGTCCCTTTCGAAAAAAACCATGAATCATACATTCGAGCGTGGTAGGTAATCTTAGGATGACCACAATAATTATACGAGTAGAGATCCTGATATCGATATAAAATATGAAATCTTACTTAAGAATGCCCCTTCTCAAACGTCGAATTATACAAAGACTAGCTGCTGCCCGCTACTACGTCTGCGTAGAATAAGCTGAAGGCGTAACATTCAGGCAGAAAGACAGATATACATAAATTATAGCCTACGTCTTAAATCCATACAGTAGTATTTGCGTGAAAGAGTAACAAAAATCCATCCATACATACAAACTTTCGCCTTTATAATATTAGTAAGGATGTAGTAAAATTCTAGCGTCAGGCAGTACAAACACAAGGCTTATAGGCTTAATGGATTTTTGGGCTGCACTTAATAGAATCGATAATATAGAATAGTTATGATTGTACGACACAGGGATATTGTGAGGACCGCGGTAGCGAACTGATTCCAAATGTCTCAACAGCAATCTAGTTTTAGACTTTTAAATATTTATGTACTTACTTTATTCTGACCAATCAAATTGTGTTGAATAATTCATGCAAAAGAAATACGATTGAATGGTTCACAATCAAAATCACGATAAGGGTTATAAAATTACAATAAAAATTACAAGTCCACTCTCATCGTATTAAAAAAATAAAGCATAAAATATTTTAGGAAAAGCTTAGACTTCTCAACCACTAAATTTAGTATAACCAATCGAACTTTAACATGTCTTCAACCTTGACAGGTGGTGAGTTTATTGCCGCACAGACTATCGCTTGATACGTCCTGCTTTCAACTAATCACTTCATTAACAAAGGTTATACCAATTAGCTACAGTTTAAGCAGCATCCCATCGCTGACCGCGTTCCGTTGATTAAATCGTACCGAAGAAGGTGTAAAACGGCGGACAACAAGAGGAACACAAATCCGTTCTTTCCCATGACATAAAATAAGCGAAACAAGCAAGCGGAAAAAAAAGAGACGAAAAGGAGAGAAAAAAGTCCAGAAACGGCAATAAACGCTAACAACTTTAATATGATGCGTGTCGCTGCGGCAAAACCAGGCACCGCATTAAGGCTGCCCATCCATCAGGTCGGTCCGAAGAGCTTGTTTTTCGAGTGAGAAGGTGGCAAACAACCTTATTCACCTGATACTAAGTGATAAACGCCGGCCAGTGACATTTGCAACACCCGTAGGATTGCACCTGCCACCTGCTAATAAAGCCCTTACCGTTTACCTCACTCACCAGACGAAACGCAGAAATGTAACACTTCCAATTGACGCCGGTTTTCTATGAGGTTGTGGTACTTCCCCGAACGGACCTGCCCATTCGTTCAACACTGAAGACTGTTGCGTGGCCCTACTACACATAAAGCTAATATTAATTGTTAAAACGTCATTTTATAAAGTATATTTGCTGTAAACGAAGCATTCCTAAAAATTCAATAAAAACAAGTAAAGAAGACGTTGAAACTTATCCGCAGTGGAGCATCGTCCGCTTAGCTTAGTGGCTAGAGCGTCTAGTCCCGTAATACGGAAGACGCAGGTTTGAAACCTGACAGTGGCAAGAATTAGTGGTATTATCTACACATTTATTTATTTATTTATTTTGGGTTACCAACTAAATTACATGTACTCAGAGTAAAATAAACAAAAATTATGTGGCAAATTTACACGTAATCTCAGTACAAGAGTATTTGTCGTGCTCATGGTATAATCGTTTTTGACGAAGCTAAGACAAAAAAAGAGTAACACAAATGTAAAAAAGTATTGCAAACAACATAAAATAAAAATAAAATAAGTCAACGTTATTCTAAAGTGCGAAATCAATTCGTCTTTCACTACTACTTTCACATTTTAATAGTATCCTATTATATGCCACTTAACGACTAAAATCGAGCGTGTGCACCGCTGTCGTAATATTTTTAAGTATTCCATAAGCAAAACAATCATAGACGCTCGTTCACCACTCTAGTGGTTATGCATCCTTATTCGGTACAGTATGCACCGGCTCTTTTAGAACTTTAAGACTTATTACTGTTGAATTAGGACACAAAATAGTTCATCGTACGAAACGTCGAAATGATCATTCCGCCATTGTGGTATAAGAAAATTGTGGGTTGCTCGGACTCTTTCGAGCGATTTAATTTCTTGATTTACGTATGTAATGATATATGATTGAGTGTATATTCAATTTTTTTCGTAGATATATTTAAAAAAAAAACTTGGCCGTATGCATTAATTACTAAAAAAAATACTACACAGTTTCTAGCCACTATTAACCATAAACTAGTAAAATAAGTAAAGTCCTATATATGTCCCACTGCTGGGCAGAGGTCTCCTGTGTACGGAGAGTATAAGGGTATCGTCTTTCACACTTGTGTATCACACTATCACAAAAATGTGCAGGTTTCATCACGCTGTTTTCCTTTACCGCTGAGCGCGTGATAAGTCAGCACTTACGATTAAAAATTTCATTGGTGCCGGCAACGGGAGTCGAACTCAGGTTGCTCGAGTATACTGAATTAAAAGTGAGCGCCCGGATAATGAGCTATCACGGCTTGTATAAACTAAACTGATTTTAAATGGGGCTATTTATCTGTTCCTGATCAAATGCAAGTGTTTATTTGTGTAACTTTATTTATTTATTTGCACACTTTTTTGTACTAACTGGTACAAACGGCGGGCTTAATGCCATAAGGCATTTTCTACCAGCCAACCGGAAAGTTAGTGAGAGAGAAGTGTAGGTGCTAGCTATATAAGGATTATATAATATGTATACATACATTATGATAACAATTATTAAACACTTACAACAATAAATACATCTATATTTAAATGAATACTATTATAATAGGTTATACTTTATCTTTATGTGAGACTTCGAAAAAGAAGTAGGTGATTATCTCGTTCACCAAACGCGAAAGTAATAA